TGGGTAAGCCGCCTCGTAGCCCAGTGATGTCTAAGAGGCCCTGCAGTTCACCTGTCAGGAGTTTTCACAGGGTAGGGTCGGACACCCCCACCTACACCAGTCATCCTGGCAACCCTGCCACTTCCTTAGATGACTTTGCTGTGATTGGGCTGAGGAGGAGTCCCCTGAGATGTAATCACCCGCAATTGAGGAGCTATGGGCTGTGTGCTTCCCCGTTGTACATGTCAAGTTTCTCAAATCCAAAATGGCATGGTCAAATGCTTCACTACACAAGCAAGAGTGCAGTGTGTACTGTTTTTTGTCTCCTTTCCATGTTCAAGTGCTGTTTTCCAGTCACTGTTTTCAGTGTGGAGAACTGAAGTGCTACCTGTGGTCTACTGAGCTCACCTGCTTTCAGTCATGTTAGCTGCAATGTCTCTCTGTTGCTATGGATTTGTTTTCAACTGTGAGCCATTGCAAAAGACTCTGTTGCTTGGGAGGTATGTGCCACATTCTCTCCACACTGCTTCCCATAATGCAGCTCTCTGGCGTCTGCCTGGTCACAATTCCCTCACAACTTTGACCGAGCTTTGAGGTCAGTTGCTCCCCACTCTACCCCCTTAACTATTCAGTCCTGTAACATCTGCAGAACTTGAGAACAGATAGATTCTAAATGGCTTCCCAAGCTCTGGGGAAGGCAGCCAAGGAACTTGGGGATTTCCATCTATGCATACCTCAGGGTTCCTTTTACCCTGTCTAAGTTAATGGACCCTAATTTAGCTTTGGCCAGCCTACCACACAGCTATGCTCTGCATTTCGAGTTCTCCAGGCTTAATTTTTAGTGTTCTTTCTTTCCATTTCATAAATGCATATTGTGTTGTATGTTAGACATTTTGTGCTCATTGCTTTGCAGAGTCAGACCTACTTTTATTGTCGAAGACGCCTTGTATTGCTATAGGGAGAGAGGAATGTCAATTTGTTGTAGAGATCTTGTCTCTACTGAACAGCCTCCCACAGCTGACACACAAACTTGGGGGTGGAAGGAAGAGACAGCAGACAGGAACAGACAGAGGATGATCTAGTTTTACAAAAATAGATTGATCTCATCCATAAGTTCCCATGGGTAAGATGACATGCTTTGCATCACCCTGAGGTTTTTGTGTTGCCCATATTTCCATCTTATAAATGTGTTTGAGGGCCAGAGAGTTCTCTTTTAACTTATGCAGAGTTGTGTTTCACCTTCATAATCTAAGAGGGAAAGTAGCCAATAAGCATAAGCATGGAACTGTTAGTTACCAGAGTTACAGCCAGCTAATTGTGGCTGGTATGTACTACAACTAGCATTTTTCTGAGAATGACTTGGGAACCCAAAAAGAACTTATAATGCTTGCAGAGATTTTTTTCCACATTTGTTTTTAAAGTAACAGCACATACTTTTTAAAGAATTATCTAACATAAAGCCAGTTCTCCTGGGATAGATTGAGAGAAGTATAAATAAATACTTGGCCTTTAAACTTCCCTCTGCAATAGTCTATGTAATCTGCTGATCCCAGACTCTAGGATAGATTTCCAACCAGCTTCATTATAAGTAGGATTTTATAATTGTTCCTGGCTGTAAAAAATAGCATGTGTTTAAAATCTGCTTCTTTTGTATCCATTTTTACATTGTATCCATTTTACAATCATTTTTTTTAAAAAAAAAAATATGTTCTTATAGAAATTTCTTAATGAAACCACTGTTTTCATAGAGTTAACACACACAGTGACACCGAAAAGAGAAAACAAACAAAAAAAAAGTTTAAAAAAAATAGGGTGCCATGAAAAAATAGCGTGATGCATCATCAGATTTTCAGAATTTTACTGAACTCCAAAGACTCCCTAAGGAAATATAACCATAGTATAATTCTTGCTCAGAATGTCCCATGTGGTAATGGGAACCTATTAATTTGAAAGCTGCCTCCTTATTCTCACAGTCTGTGGCAGCCTCTCCAAATGCTGTAAGTGTATAATGTTCTGGATTTATCTCAGCTGTGCTGAGAGGCTATGTGGGACAGAAATGCCTGCGCCATTAAGATAGAAATGAACACAGACCTAAAACACTGGTGGCTAACAAGTCATTTCTTCTGAGAATCGAAAATGAGGGAAAGGGGAGAGAATGGTAGGAAAAACAGATCATTATCTTCTTCAAATTACCTGGTGGGCTTCAGAATATCCTTCCACAATTTATCAACACTGAAGGAATTAGACATGCAACAAAGACAAAAACAACTTTTAACATGTTATTACCATTGCTTGCCATTAGGTGGCAATGGAGTGCAGACATAGTCACAAAGCTAGCATTTGGAAGCACTTTGCTTTAATAACCACAGGAACCACAGCCATCCTTACTAAGGACAAAATACAGATGCTGACTTTAACCAAGTTAGTTCATCTAGTCCATCATAATACTTCATTCAATATGGGGCTAATCAAAATTGTTCCACCACCCCTTTTTGTCATTTGCCATAGTAAACCATCCAATGTCTTTAGGTTTAGGGTTTAACTAATGTGCAAAGTAAGGTTGAATTGTCACCAGCCACTGTAGTTTTCACAAGACTAAGACGCATAATAAGAGGTAATTTCCTGACTACTTTGTGTGTAAGTTTAAGGAGAGGAATCTTTACATGGCAAAGGAAAGCTAGCAGATGAAATAACTATCGCTTTATGGGCTCCATGAGGGGGCAAGATTCGCTTTTATCTCACGCTCTGATGTTAGGATGAGGAATTTGAGCTGAAATTGAATGCCCAAGATCAATAGCAGACAGTGCCCCAAACAGCCAAGACCTTGTAAAACATATTAACTCCAATACTGAGATTATACAAAGATCCTCAGAAACAGGCCACTACTTATCAGTTCATCTGAGGATGATTCCTGTTTTTTAAAAAAGGGTGGGCTTTGAAATGTTTTCAAAAGTCACAATTTTATCAGATATATAACTTCTTGTAATAAAAGGATTATATTCTGGCCTGAGAATGTGAATATTGTGTGGGAAACTGATGATTCAGGAGGGAAAAGGAGAGCAAGGTTTAGAGGGTATAAAGCAAGGAGAAAGACATGTTTTGAAAGATGATTAAAAGCCAGGAAATTGCTGGCTCACACCTCTAGGAATTAAGTGACCCCCCACACTTTGAGTTGCACCCCAGCTTTCCTAACTGTCAAAGAGATAATTTGTTTAAATAATTTTGGAGGCTGGAGAATCAAAGGCACTAAGTAAGATTCTGATGATAATATTAAATAATGGACTATAACCTTCAAATTGTAGTTGCTTTATGTTAACTAACAGGGTGGTTTAAAGTGGTATTCAATTTTTAACTTAATAGGGAATTAGAAAGGAACTGGAAATGTAACATATACATATGGATGTACTTGCTTCATCATATATTTAAACTTATTAATAACTTCTATAATTAAGAATCTCAAAAAATGCCTAGAGGACGGATTGTTCTTCATTATTATTATTTTTTTATTTTTATTTTTGTAGTTCTCCTAGGCTGGCCTTAAACTCACTAAGACATGCCTGCCTGCCTCTGTCACCATACCCATCTTAGTCTTCATTATCCTTAAAATTATTGTAATTTATCCTTTGAATATTTTGTATGTAATAATGTCACTTTGTAATTTTAAATACCATTAGGAATTTTATACCGATTTATAGGAAGAAATCATCAATGTTGCCAGTAATGCTCTTTAGGTTTAAATTTATGTATTCTGTGTGTAGATGTTGAAAAAAAACCTCTAGGAATACTGTTAATAAATGCTACCAATTAATAGACTTAAAGCTTCAAGTTTTAGTAGTGATGATAGTTAATCTGCTCTACACAGACAATGTGGATTAGAGATGGGAGATAAATTTAGGGAGGGGCCTGATCAACAGATTCATTCTAAAGGGAACCTCAGGGCTCCCTGTCCATCCTTGGACCAGAAGTTTCTATGAACAATTTCAGGGGGAATCTTTCTAGGTTATGAAGATTGTTAATAATTATATGTATCCAAGCTCTGATTCTGACTCTGAAGACACGGCCCTAAAGACAACTAAATTCTGTTGTCATTGGAGCCCAGCTCTGAGACTTGTCAGCAGGTAGCTGTCATTTAGCAGAAAATTATTGAAGTGGGAATGGGTCGAATGCATCGATTTCCTGAGAACATAACATGTAGATGATCAATGTAAATCACACTGAGTTTCCATATTCAACCAATGTGTTCAATTTCATTCTCTGAAGTATTTGTGTGGCTATGCAGGATGCTAAGGCTCGTCATTTCCAATATTATAAGTATCTATTACAGATACTGGTCTTGATGCTTAGTTTAAAAAGAAAGGAAACTCTTTTGAGAGTTGAGTGCACTGGGGATTTCTACCAATATTTCTCTTCTAAGGTAAAGCATTATATGTTACCTGGAAATTGTCCGTTGCAGTCTTCTTAAAGTTCTCTGTCTTCCCTTTTGAAAACTGCATGTGCGTCCCTCCCCCAACCCTTACCCCCATTGAGAGCAGAGAATTGAAATTCAAATGCAGCATGGGATGTCTGGCTACTGACCTTTTCATCTGTACCATGTGTGCCAATGTTGTCTGTGAAGGAAAAGCTTGGAGAGAATGTGGCTATTGCTAGATGTGGCTTCCTCTTGTTTGAGAGAGAGGCTGGAGATGATGTTGAATGAAGGGGACCAGCCTTCCTGCCCCTGTGATTCAATGTCCTCCTTACCATATTCCTGACCTTGGAAAAATCAATGGGACTCAACTTTCCCTTAAAGCAACCAGATTGTGGATGTGTTCAAAAGTTTGAACCTTGGGTATTCTGATTGAAAGCACCCCTTCAAAATACTTTAATTATTAAGCGTACAGAAACCCTCTATTTGGTGGATCGTTTTCCTTCCTCTTGGTTTTTTACAGCAGGAAATATTAAATGTCAAGAAAAGTATCATGCTATTACCCAAATTGCCTTTTAACGATACACTGGTGACATTGAAAATCATTTCATTTCAGCCTCATCGCACAGTGTTCACCCATGACAACATTCAAGGTGGGGGGGAACCGTAAGTACTCCTCTTCTAAATCTAAGACTTACATCTACCCACAAAAAATGGACAACAGGTGTACCTGACAGAGCACAGTAGGACTTTGTGAGAGGGATAAAACAGTGAACATGAGGAATCCAACACAAGAAATCACACCGTTCTGCTCTGTCGATGAGATCAGGCATTAATGCTCTAAGGAGAGATGGCTCCATGGTTAAGAGCACTGGCTACTCTTCCAAGGGACCTAAGTTCAATTCTCAGCATCCATGTGGAGGCTCACAGTTCCAGGAGACCCAACAGCCTCTCCTAGCCTTTATGGGTTCCAGACACGTATAGGACACAAATACATACATGCAAACAAAACATAAAATGAATAAATAACAAAGGGAAACCTTCCAACATTGTAGTAACTCCTACAATTGATAAATCTGTCTCTTAGTCCACTGGCTATGTAACTGGTAACCACAACTTTAATGACAGACAACCCATGCCCTAACGTTTTTCAACCTATTTGAACACTTCAAAGGTATGCCTAATTTCTACCTTCTTAGTATATTTGCAAAATTATAACCCATGCTTCAAAATGTCTTTTGAAGATAGCAGTATTAAAGCACTCCCTACTGTTCAGATACATGACATAATTTCCACCACATGGAAAATGAGCCTTTTAAAATGTTCCTTCCAAATTCCCCTCTCCATATATACACATTGCCTTTAAGAGACCCATTTTTCTTTCTCTGGCCCAGTTTACAATACTCAGAAATTACCCACTTCCTACTGGCTCTTGCCTATGCTGAGTCAAAAGAGACCTGTGGAAGCCACACCCAGAGTCCTTAGCCCTTCCCTGTGCATCAGCTGGGCCTTCTGCCCCAGCTCTGCTCTCTTGGTGAGAAACCTGCTGACCTGCTCTTTTGTGGGCAGGCCATGGTATAGAAATGGTGTTTTCAGCACCAACAGCTTCTGTTGCTATTTTACATGTGCAAACAATGATAGGATTATAATACACACACATACACACACACACACATGCACTCCAGAGCTGATGAGAGTGATGGCATTGCTAGCATCTTCTAGTAAACAGCATTCGGGGCATACCAACAAGTTGTGTTCTGTTGTACTTGGTTGTGTCATAGGCAGCTGTTGTCATTGGGCTATTGTAACATCGCAGAGCCCATGGGTAGGGAAATGCACTTTCAAGCCTTGCTTTAGATCCTACTCTTTCAAATTTATGTTTCATTGCTGCCTTAATTAGAGGGATTATGGAAGGTTATCTCATCATATACATTTAGAAAAATATTTTGTGAACCAAAAGTAGAAACCTAAGCCATGCTGCTATGGTTCAGTTTAGGGACAATCTAAGGTGCAGGCTATAGATTTGAGTGTGACTCAGCATTTCTTAAATGACAAATTTATTTTTGAGGCAGTCTTGACCCCACTACCACCATCATTTCACCAACATATGTCAAAGCAGCATTTATTTTTTTTATTTATTTTATTTATTTAATTGGGCCACAGTTCCTGTCATACAACACTGATTTTGAGAACCAGCAGAGGTAGAAGTATTTCCAGGATGTTTTGTTTATATTTCCATAAAATCTTTTGTGTGTGTGATCTAATTAAACCACTATGGCAAATAAATTCTGACAGGTGTACTTGGCTTTCATTATATAAAAATGAGCTGGGAGTCTATGCCAGTCCTAGTTTGTTAGCTCTGAGGACCCTCAGAGTCTTCAAGCATCTGGAGTTTGTGGCCTGTAAGTGGTTGGAGTTATGCCCTAGTAAGGCTAGAGACTGAGAAGCTCAGAGCAACTGCACAGTATATCCATCAGCATAGCAACCAGGGATGACCGTGTCTCTCAAGCTCGAGAAGGGACAAGTAGCCTTGTGGAAATCCCATTTCTATTGCCAACAGCCTCAGTTGCGAACCAACACACAAATAACAAAATGGTTTTCTTCTTCTCCTAAGGCTGGCTCCTAGTGAGGTGGCCTCTGCCAGTCTTACTTGCCACCTCTTCTAGGGTCTGGGTCTGTTTCTATCCATGACCAGAAGCTGAAACCTCTCCCAACCTCAGAAGACTGCAGTGGGTGCAAAGAATATTAATGGCTAAAATTGCCCACTAGAAGGGACTATTACTAACTAGAAAAGAAATCTCTAATGTGGGGATTTCGGGGTTGGGTGCCAAGCTTGGGAAGATGATGGTTTTAACAGAAAGGCAAAGCTCTTTCCTACAACTCCCTGAAGCCAACTTTATCTGTATCCTATGATCAGGAGACATTCAAGAACAGAGAGGGAGCCAGTGAAATTGTGGCACATTTATAGCACACTGTTTGAATTCAAGTACCAGAATGTTCTACCAAAATGTGTTTTTCTGTCTTGATAAAGTAATTAGAAATAAAACCTTCTTGTTCCAAAGTAGAATTCAGTATTACCCACTTTTTAATGGTGGCCTAAAATAAATCCAAAGAGCCCCCAGAATGTTGTTAATGTTTTCTTACATTAGTACAATTATATGACAGTTATAAAAAGCAATGGAAAAATTTTTCCAACCTTTTAATCCTATGATTATACCAGTGACAGATAAGTGCTATCATGAAAAATTACCATCAACTGCATATCAAATTCTTCTTGGGCTTCTTAGCCTCTAAAATGTCAGTCTTTACTTTCCCAAGTGCTTATCTATGTTAGTAACCACAGATTTTAATAGTAATAAAAGTCAATGTCAAATAGTTAATATTCAAACACACTACAGATCAATGTCACCATCTCTCTATCAAAGAGTTCAGACAAGAAAAAATGGTTACATTCTTTCAGTAATTCTTTCGCCCAGTGATTATTTCAAAGGAGACTTTTAACTCAAGTACAGTTTTTTACCAGACACTTTTTTTAAATGTGTATGATCCTCTAGTTAGGTCAGGTCAAGGATGGCCATGGTTCAAGGTCATAGGTGAATTGCATGAAGTCTTCACATTTCAAATCCTGATTCCTAGTGTAAAGCTCATCTTTAAAAGGTTTCCTTTTGTAATAATTCCTGTATCATTTATAAAATGTATATTGTGAAATATTTTGTACAACTCAATTTAGAACCATTTGGAATTCCACTTGCAAGCCTCCATTATTTATGGTTATAGCTACCTAACTCTGTAATCCCTCTTAATGGGCTGCACAATACAAATACCATTTATTTTATACTGTTTTGTAGCACCTAAATGACAAACGTTATATATCTAGACAATATTAATGCAGGTCTAGCCTACAAAAATCAAAATGCTATTGCCTAACTCATAAATATTGTAATCTTCCATGAATATTTTTCACTGTAGGTTTTGAAATGTTATTAGAGTGATTCCCGTTAGAATCTGAATGTTTCCGTTGACTTTAAGTGTTTAGCAAAGACTTAACATTCCTAACACAGCATATTAATAATAGAAATGTTTGACTGAAATGAGTGTTATACTAACTTCTATAACTTCATGAAGATATGAAGTAAATTAAATATACCCATTTGTCCTGTTTAAGGTTTCAGGCTCTGTATAACTATACTCCTAGGAATGAAGATGAGCTGGAACTCAGAGAAAGTGACGTCGTTGATGTGATGGAGAAGTGTGATGATGGATGGTTCGTGGGTATGTGCTCATTTATTCAGTTTGTTTAAATTTGCTCACTTGCATGGCTCACAAAGAGTCCAGCTCTCTTTGAATTCATGCTGTACTATCTATCCCAAAGCCATTGCATTTTAATAAAGTGTAACATGTATTGATATGAGTATATGTGATTTTTCTGCTAATTTTATTTCAACCCAATCAGGAAAATGTCTTTAAATAGCACCAACTAGCAATGGCTGTGATGTCACAGTAACAATTACAAAAACACACCAAATGTTCCCAGGTGTGAAATGCCTTTACTCTGTTTGATGGGGAATATTAGCCATCAAATGTCATTTGATGGGGAGCAAGATGGAAGGGAAGCTAGCCCATTTGCTAGGACCCATGTAGACAACCATAAAAGTCTAGGGATCCTCCTCAGATTCAGTTAGCTGAAGGGAGAACTACCTTCGTTGCCACTTCAAAGGCAAACCCAGATCTACCATCTTAAAGTATATTTAACACCCTCTCTGCTCAGCTGTCCAGTCCCCAACACAGAAAGAGAGGGGGAGGAAGAGATGAGCAAGAAGATAAGACAGAGGAGACAACATGAGGTCCTCCGAGGAAATGTTGGTAGACAAAAGGATTCAGGCAGACACCAAGGAAAGAGGTGACAAGGAGAGGTGTGGGGAGGACTGGGGAAGGTGGAAAGAGTTAAGATGACCTGGGTTCCACTAACTGTCTATAACTACAGTTACAGAGGCATCTGACAACCTTTCTGACCATCATAACCACCATGTGGAGCATAAGCATGCATTCAGACAAAACACCCATACACATAGAATTTAAAAAAAAAAAAGTGTGGGAATGCAATCTTCCTCTACACTTGGCCAGGAGTAGATATTGAAGGAACTGAAGCCAGATAGGCAGACACATTCCTTAGACTCTATTATTTCTATTAATCCCCATATAAAGGTGAGAAGAGGTTTACACATATGGCTTTCGGGGTTATAAACAAACCAATAAATTATAGAATGTTAATGCAAAGTGAAATTTCAGAGGCCCTACACTAAAACACAAAATAACATTTTAGATGGACTTTGGAGAAAGCATCTAGAGAATTGTGGCTATGAAACCAAAGGGGACCATGAGAAAAGCCATGCGTGTACTTGGTGTAACTGCCCATGTTAGAAACCATTCTCAATAACTCCATTCCACCCACCACACAAGTAGTAGCTGGTCTTCTGCTTTTTAAAAATATAAAATTGTTTAGATTGTTCAGAATTCTGTATTTTGTTAAGAAGCATAACAGTGCTTTTTTAGTGAGTGAGGTAGCACTGAGCATGAGATTATATTTGTGACATTGGCAGTGTACCATGGAGTGGCCATGTGGCGCTGCAGAGGAGGCTTCCTGCTCCTGAACCAACCCTTACTCTTATGTGTATCCCTTACTCATCAGTTATCATGTCCCACTGCAAGCCTCACAGGTATCTCCTATTCCTTGTTTGGCATCATGGTGATCTGAGTCCTACCACCCAGCTCTCTGCACAATTGTCTTTCATTCTAGACTGGGAGGCTGGACTTCCCCATTTAGCTCCATGTGGTGAATATCTATCTCTTATGCAAATGAAATGATGACAACATCAGGCAGGGCACTTAAATTGCCTGCTTTCTCTTTCTATTGTCATCAATGAGTTTTCTATATTCCTTCCCGAACTATTTAGGGCTTGCTCCCTCGGTGAACCCTTGCAGACAGAAAGTCTTCAGGCAGACATAGTACCTGACATTTCATTGCTCTTACACACCTTTTCATTTATTGCTTCTGTTTTCAGGAACCTCAAGAAGAACCAAATTCTTTGGTACCTTTCCCGGAAACTATGTCAAGAGGCTGTGAATCACCTTCCTCCTTATTTACTCCACATTTCAACAACACATATGCAGAACTCATCTGAAACATCCCAGCAGGCCTGTCGCTGTCATGCCTTACGGTTTCCAATAGGCCATTGCCATCTCCACCTGCTGCCACCAGATCACCAGCAGCGACTACCGCTGGGAGCTTCAGGGAAATGTGGCAAACTTATACTCGCATAAATGCAGTTTCCTTCTTTGAAATGTTGTGGCATAGAATCAGAATGAAAGTTGTCATAATTTTAAAAAGTGGAATAGTTAAAGCAGAAGGAAAGAAAGAAAGATAGGAAGGGAGGGAGGAAGGAAGGAAGGAAAGAAGGAAGGAAGGAAAGAAGGAAGGAAGGAGGGAAGGAAGGAAGGAAGGGAGAAAAAGAAAGACTCTCCAGGAAGCTTTCTGGTCTCAAGGCTGTATTCCCACCTCTCTGGAAGGTGTTCTGTCCTCAGGAAGCCAGAAGACTGTTTTCTGAAATGCTATGATTTGCATTTTCACCCTCAGCTTGGCAGTATATTTCCCTTTCACGAGTTTGCCTAGTGCCCTGGTTTACACTATATGACAACTATACTTCAGCTGTTATTTGCCTGCACTTCTCATATATTGTTTTATGCACAGTGATCATAAAATCTAGAGTGAATAGAAAAGTTAATTGGGATGGGTGTGATTTTTGTTAATTGCATTAAGTTTTCACATAGGAGGTTTTTCCTGTTCATTTTTTGTGTGTACTTATTAAAAGTGCAAACAGTGAGTGATTAAGATCCCTTGGTCACTACCATGACTATCATGAAGTTTTAGCCACACTGCAGGACAAATCGTGTTGTAAATTTGCATTGCTGTTTTATATTAAAATATAATCATCAGCATCATGGACAAAGAGCTCTTAGTGTTTATTTATCTGTTAAAACTTAAAAGCAGTGTTAGTAAGAGGGGCAAAGAAATGAAAGTAATACCCATAGGTAAGTTTCACTGTGTGTACACTTACACATTCGATTGTATAAGGACATATAAATCACATGCTGTGTTGTACATTTTATGGAAATGTAAAAGATTACCATATTATTTTATAGAGTACTTCAGGAGCATCCTGAGTGTTGCTGGCATTAGCAAGGATTATGATCAATACAATTATTTTTACTACAACAATTATTTTTCTTCTATGGAACCCAGAATCCTGACTCCGTTTGTAGACAGGAATATATATGTTGAGCCTGATTTTTCTGGTGTATGTAACATACTTCCTAGAAATAATAAATTAGGCACTTTTAGATATAATGGTTAAATCATTCAGGTTGTATTTTCTGCCCCCAAACAACTGTACAAAATGATAACAAACCTGAAAGATTTAATGTATTCACAGTGCCTGCGTTCCACATATCCTGATACTTAGCTTTGTATTTCAAATGAATTTGCTTAAGACCTGTTTGTCTTTGAATCTTTAGCACCTTATAGACAAAACTTTTTATGGCTTTCCTCCAGTGGGCAATGCTTGATCTCCCACAACATAGACCATAGACTCTAGCATTTTGTACATATGCTTTTTTTTTTTTTTTTTTGTACAGACTATTAACTTGTTTAGGAAATGGGAATTTCCCAATTTGATCTTTATCCTGCACTTAAGCTGAGTTTTAATTCTTTCAGCAGATCGCCCTTTAGGGTATCTTGACAGCTCACAGGCTAGTATGAACCTGGAAGATAGTATCTACACAAAATTCTATGAATTGAAAAGATCTTTGTAACCAATCTAAAATGCACATAAATCTGGCTACAGAGGAACATCATTAAGGGGAAGAATAAAAATACTTTTGAGAAACCCACTTTACTGTCCAGTTCACAGCCAGCTTTCTATTAGAAAAATTTGGGATTGGAAGTCAGTCAGCCACATGCAGCTTTGCTGATGAATGAACACTACTTTTTCATATCATTTGTGAAAACAAATCTTCAACTCTGTTGCCCGTTATATTGAAGAAATTTTGCTGTTTCTACTCTCTGTATCTGATTTTAAAAGGAAAAAAATATTCACACCTGGCTTTCAGGTCATTGACTTTGAATTCTTACTAGCAAAGGTCACTGTGTTTTTCTTGAGTCGATACTTAATAAATTTTGCTTGAAAGTACTTCTACTTTTTTGGCATTTATGCAAACTCTGTGTTTTAGTTCAAGGTATTAGTTAAAAATAAGTTGAAACATTGGGTCTATGTTCTCTTGACATACAAATGGAGAAATGGAGAAGAGTTTTAAAAAACAAAAAACTACCACCATAGACCACTTGCTAACTCCTCTTAAATACTGCTTGCTCCTCAGCCAAAGTGATGTCTCAAAATATCCCTGCCTCAAACCTGGCTATTTACAAGAAAAAGCTAATTGCAAACATTGTGCCTCAAACCTGGCTATTTACAAGAAAAAGCTAATTGCAAACATTATAAGTTGTGAGCATCCATCTTGGAACTTTTAAGGACTTCTCCTAAAGAACTTTACCATCATTGGTCTCTGAGTGAATTTCAAAACTGCTGCTGCAGAGGGATCATGTCTTTCTGTCACAGTGATAACAAAGATTTACACTAGTACTTGGGTTCTTTCTAATATTACCTTAGTACCTTCTTCATCCATCTATCTTAACCCACATTTATATCTGTCAAATATTCAGAAACCTGGTCTTCTCATAGTCCTCAGTTCTTAAACAAGACTTATTGACTCAACAGCCACTCGGGTCTCCTCTATTCCACTGGGTAATTTCTGACTATCTCTAGCTCTCCACTGAGTTGTGCTCCCTTGTGGGAAGACTAAACTCCCAGGACTTTTGCAGTCCTATTTTCTCCTGAGCACTGGTCAGTCACTTAAGTCTATACATCTGAGTCTGTCCATCCAGGTCGTTGGAAGACTAACAGGAAGGGATGCTGTTATCTATGGACCAAATGTGCATCATCCCTGGAAGCAGGTGGTCCTTTTCTTACTTGCTCAAAAGCTGGAAGAATCTGTTTACGTGGCCACATGCTTTCATATCTACTTACTGCCTGACCTCTCTTTGTAGGTGGTCAGTTTGTGTGGCCTGATAATTTCTTCCCACTCTTTTCCAGATTTAGGCCACAAAGGAGGATATTATTTAGAGAATCATCTAGTTTCAAAAAATTAACTACTCTAGCAACATCTCAAGAGTCCATTCACTTGAAGGATTTTTCAGCCTCCTCTCCAGATGGTAATTCTTTAAGGATTGTTTATATATCAATTATGTTTTCAAATAATTTACTTCTCACTAATAATGAGGGCCAGAGCCTGGGTAGAGATTGGCCTTAGAAATAGAATGTCCCACAGAAGGGATTTGCTTATGGAACAAATTCAGTCTACTATCTGGTATTGGATATCCTACCAGCTAAGAATGGTTTATACAGAGAACAGCTGCCATCAATTTGATGATATGACCCCTAACTTTAATTAAATGAAATGTCATTCCCCCCAAATCCCTTTATTTCCTTTTTATGTTGTATTAGAAGAAAATTATCCATCATTTGTATGCTCACATTCTTACCTTCATCAGTGAAAAATGGCAGAAATGGGTTTTCTCTTTGTAAATGTGTATGTGAAACTCTGTTTTCCCTCTAGTTCCACTAACTCAAGTGCTGTCTGTCCCTTTACAGAAATTAGCTTGTGAAATTGTGTGACCGATGCTAATCGTTAGCCACAGATCTGAAAAGTGACCAGAGAGAAACAAAAGTTAAGTGGGTGCTACACACCAAGGCATTCCTACCATGGTCTATGCCCTTATCCTCACAGTGAAACTAGGAGGGAAGTCTGTGTTGTGCCCCCTCTACAGATGAGGAAGTGAGAGCTTCAAGAGGCTCCATGGCTTCTTTGTTATGGTGAAGTGTGCTGGCCTGTGGGAGAACTTGTATTCAGGGGCCTGGTGTATCTCTCTCCCAAGCCTGTATGCTGCCTTCTGTATTATCCAAACTTGGTGATAAGCACATCACTGATTAAACGATGCAGTCAGAATTAACTATCTCTACTCATCCACTCTTCTCCCTTCACAATCCAGACACTCAGCTATGGCAGCCTCCTCCTAACAGCATCTTACTATGCCCATGTGATGAGAAAGAGAAGGCACCAAACAGACACTAGAGTATTCCCCCAAGGGAAGCTCACTCAGGCTTCTAAAATACACAGTAACTGTGTCTGGGAGTTATGGCTCACCAAGGCTCTGGAGACCATGCTCTGTGAGCCAGCTCGGCAGCCAATGGAGTTTCAGGGAAATGTTTGGTATTCAAGCCATTTGGTGGACAGGCAAGCCCAACATGCTCTAGGAACACAGAGTACTCACTGGACAGCTTTGAAATATACACAGTCCCAGGATATACTAGCCATTCTCTGCTTGGGGCCTTAGCTCACTGCTAAATTCAGCCCTGCAGGAGCTCAGGAAAATTCCATCTGAGCTCACACACATGCATATATCTTGACCCATAAAACTTGGAGCACAAGACAGAAATCAGCCTAGCAAATCTTCACCTGTTCCTTTGGGGTTTCTTGTTTCAACCTTCCCCCTAAAATATGATGAGTGACTCAGTCATCCTTGTGTCTTCTAAAAATAAATGCCATTTCAGTCAAAGTCTTGTTACTATTAATACCCTTAGACGGATGCCAAGTGTTGCATTATATTTTAAGAGCTCAAGGTTGACTCCTTAAAGCATTTTTAATTTTTTAGGTTTAACAATCATTAGACATTTTCGTACAAAAAAAAAAATCCAGAAAATAGAAATGTACAAGAGGAGGAAACATTCCAAATCCCATTTGAGTGAGTGTTGTGCTCTGAAATTTATCTATCCAGAGGTTTGTGTGTGTGTGTGTGTGTGAGAGAGAGAGAGAGAGAGAGAGAGAGAGAGAGAGAGAGAGAGAGGGGGGGTGGGGAGAGAGCATGCACATCCAGTGTGATCATATGTATGTGCAGACAAACTGGGGTCAAACCGAACACACTTTTATATTCTGTAACTATCTCTGTGTGAGACTCTAGAGTCAATTCATTAAGTGAATTTGACATTAACAAAGCATTTAAAGAAGGAAAAGTCAACTTTGATGCCCAGGATTTATGAAACTACAATCAACTCAAATTCCCAAGGCCAAGAATTGCTTGGGTCTAAGTAGATGTAAAACCTGATAGAATTTAAAGGCTTTAACAAGGAAGGGAAGGAAAGGTGAGGAAAAAGAAAATACTATTTATCATCACCTAATCACATTAGGCATCTTTTCAGCTAAGTGGTGTCTAAAGGAAAATATTAAGCTGATAAGTGTAGAAACTGCAGAGCAAAACCCTCCTGGAAGGTACAAAGGGCATAAGGTCTGAATCAATACTGCCAGAATAGATAACAACTTATTTTGGAAAAATAACATATCATAGAAATAAAATATTTTTATGTGTTCCCATGGAGTATTCTGTTCCTCCATTGGCATAATTGGAAAAGTAGGGAGACATTTGTGGTGATCAGAATGGTAATGTTTTCGTCCTCCAGTGTCATCACTAATGTGTCATCTAAGTGTCATCTAGTGTGTCATCTGACCAAGAATGTTGACAACTTCCCACAAGGCCAAGGATGCTGATAATGTCCCACAATGCACAAAGGCTTCCACAGCAAATCATCATCAAGCTAATTATCTCTATTGTTGATCATCATGAATTCTGCCCTAGGGTAACTCTGATGTTTAAGGAAGATTTGTATTATACTACTGGGCAAGGTTATTTTAATTCTGAATTAGCGAATCAACAGCTGTAACCATAATGGTTACTATCTTCTGCCCAATGACTGACAGACCCAGATCCTCTGGCAGAAAACAGGCTGGAATATAGTAAGGAAAGGGAAGGTAAGTAAGGAGGCATGATGAAATGGGGATTAATTGATATCTGCAGGTAAACATTTCATCTCTGCAATGTGTCATAGAGGAGAGCCAAGGCCAAGATCAAAGCACCAGCAGATTTGACATCTGAGAAAGCACCCTTCCTCATAGGTGACCATTTCCTTTCTGTGCCCTTTCTTGAAGGAAGAAGGCAGCTCTCAGTTCCCCTTCTCATTAGGCACCAATGCCATTACTATTATCTCTACTCCATTACCCAACCAACTATAAAAGGCCCCATATCTTGGATGGAACTAGAAGAAACCAACCTGAGTGAGGTAACCCAGTCACAAAAAGACAAACACGGTATGAACTCACTCATATATGGGTTTTAGACATAGACATTCAATTCACACCACCAGAAAAGCTAGGAAATAAGAAGGACACTAAGAGAGACATACTTGGGACCCCTGGAGAAGGGGAAAGGGACAAGATCTCCCAAGCAAATTGGGAGCATGGGGGGAGGTGAGAGGGAGTTAGGAGAAAGAGAAGGGGGCAAGAGGAGGGGAGAGGTGAGCATGAAGGAACAGGAGGACTGAGACAGGGAAAGAATAAAGGAGAACAAGAAAAGAGATAACATAATAGAGGGAGTCATTATAGATTTAAGGAGAAATCTGGCACTAGGGAAATGCCCAGAGATCTATAAGGATGACCCTAACTAACAGTCTAAGCAATAGTGGAGAAGCTACCTTTAATGCCCTTCCACAATAATGAGATTGGCAACTACCTTATATGCCATCCTAGAGCCTTCATCTCATAGCTGACAGAAGCAGAAGCAGACACCCACAGCTAAACACTAGCTGAACTCCTAGAACTCAGTTGCAGAGACGGAGGAGTAATGAGCAAAGGGGTCAAGATCAAGCTGGAGAAACCTGCATAATCAGCTGACCTGAACAAGGGGGAGCTCATGGACCCCAGTCTGATAGCTGGGAAATGAGCATAGGACCCATCCAGACCCCCTGAATATGGGTGTTAGTTAGGAGAACTGGGCAGTCTATGGGGCCTCTAGTAATGGATTGGTATTTATCCCTAGTATACAAATGAACTTTGGAAGCCACTTCCACATAGAGAGATACTTTCTCAGTCTATACACATGGGGGAGGGAGTAGACCCTGACCCAAATGGTATGACAAACTTTGAAGACTCCCGATGGAAGGCCTCACCCTCCCTGGTTAGCAGGAAGGGGATGGGCTGGGGTTTGGTGGGGGTGATAGGAGAGGATGGGAGGGTAAGGGAACTGGGATTGACATATTAAAC